TGTTATTTCTTAGGGGTGTAATCTTCCACAGCTTCTGTGAATGTCTGAAGAGGTGTGTAAACCACTTTACATCAACACAATTTCTAGTAATGCTTTTTCATGTCCTTTTGATAAAGAGGGTACGTCTTGGTCACCTTAAAAACAGATTTTTATGGAGCTAATCCTAGTATTTGGGCTACATAATCCCCTGAATTGTTTGCTGCTTAGTTCTGGGGACAAATAAGAGTACCTGCCATTTAAACTCTCCCTGGAATTATAGGTAACGCATCCTTCCACATCCCTCCAAATCACCTATCTGTAGTATTGAAGTTTCTCTCAATAGACTGCAACCAGGGTAGTCATGTTTCTACCTGCCTCACCTACTACCCATCCAGCCTGGTTTGTTAGCTTTTTGCCTTCCCACACATAAAACCTCTAATCTCAAAACTGAGCATGGAAGAGGCACTGCAGTCCACGTGCCTCTAGATTTTTTTTTTTTAACTTAATCTTATACCTGATGACAGAAAAGTATGTTTGCATTTATGCTGACCAAAGGCAGAACTCTGTCCTGCAGGCTGCTGTGTTTTGCTGCCGTGCAAATTTCCAGAAAGAACTGGATAACAGAAAGGAAAATCTGGGTGCGGGTGTGGAGTGTGTACCACTCCAGCGGCAAGAACCTGAGGGCTGAAATCATCTGTGCCACGGTGGGGAAGAGAGATGAGAACAGCATGCCAGCTGTACCTGACAGGCAGCGTGCGCTGCGCCAAGGGAGAGCGACGGAGGTGCCTGCAGACACATCGGGTTCCTTTCCCTTTCTCCTCTCCCTGCCCACACTTACAGCCTTGATCACGGCAATCGTTGCAGTTTGGGGGACAAGGTCATTAATAAGCTTTAGAAATCTTCTTTTTAAAAAGAAGAAAGTCTGTAAGGAAGGATTGAAAAAACTCAGCATTGTTTTCCACAGCTGAAGGCCCCTCTGCATTAATTCTGTTCCCTTTAAAGCCTGGAATGCTTGTGTTGGTTGGTTTTGGGGGGTGTGGGGGTTTTTTTTCTGTGTCCTAAGCAGCTTCAAATTTCCGTAAATTAGAAACACATTTAAGTTTTGGAAAACAATTGTTTGGTAGTTGTTTTTATGAGAAAAACATACTGCAAACACCACTGCAGACTGTGCTACAAAGACCTTTCAGGTTGGGTTGTGCAGTGCAGGACCAGCCTCAATATTTGAGCAAAGTGGCACATCAGCCTAGCCCAGCACACCTAGTCAGGGGTTTAGATGCAGTTTCCATGTAAATGTGATAGTAGGCTTGCACTGATTAGTCTCTCAACCAGGGTAATCTGGGAATGAATCCAAAGGAGTTTTATATTTTGAGAGTCCAAGATAACTGATTTTTTCAGAGACAGAACCGTAACTGGTTCAAAAAGGGTTGCATCAATGTAGGCAGGTAATAGGGGAAACTTAATACTTGTGCATGAAAGCAAGAATAAGTAAAACTGCAGAATCAACTGCTGAGTCCACTAAGATAAAGCTGCATGAAAGAGTCATTCACTCCTTCCAATAACACTGAGGGGCAATGGATGACAATTAAGCATTCTGTCATTACAAATTTCTTCAAAAGTAATTTAGAGATAGCATAGTCTGATAGCCCAAAGAGATAACTAGTTTTTTATTTAATCCAAATAGCACACTAGATTAATCAAGTCACTAAATCCATCAATGACATAGATTATTTTTCAAATCATAAAAAATCATAGCTGTAGACTGTAGGCTGTGCTGGTTTTCCCTTGTAAAGTACTTGCATTTGGTCGACATGAATAAGGACAAAGCCCTTTCCAGAAGTCAATATGGACTCAGAGTGACTCTAAACTTCATACGCTCTCTCCGAAGCAACCGAGGAACACGCTGCCCATCGGCGCTGAGAATGCACCCACTAAGCAAAAAACTGTCCCTTTGCAGTGTTGTATACTGTTACTTCAAAATTGCCAAACTGGGTATCATTTGAAAAACTCAGCCTAAATTTCAAGAGAAGTATAGTGCTAAATGGCTAGTGAGAATTTGGGAACTCCTGCAATTTGTAAGATGAGACAAATAGTTCAATATTTAACTGTGTGCCTAAGAACTAAGATACAGTTACAAAGAGAAATGCATAAAATCCTACTTCTTTGACCTTTACTATATTACAATTTTAAAGATTAAAGTAAAATGAATGATAGCAGCATCAAAAATCTCATTTTATAACTTCAAGGGTCTGTGCAAACATCCTCTATTTACTCACAAATGGCAACAGATTAGCTTTTGGTAGATGAGATAGGAAGTCTGTGTAGCACATCATGTCACAACATAATGAGGAAGGAAGCCAGGAGAATTTTGGAAAAAAACAGAGAAAGTTGGTTTTGGTTTTCTGACATAGACCCTTACAGCAGAGTGTCATGCCGTTCCATTTTTCTGGTACAGACTTGTAAAGAGTATGGGGAAATGCAAATATATGAAGTAACATCTGTAAAATCCTGTTTTAAAATCTCAGCACCATCAATACCCAGAACTCGCTGTGCTCTCACGCTCAGTGGTACAGAATATGCTGAACTTTCAGTGAAAACAGGAAAAAAAAACAACTCTTATTTGCTTTAATTTCAGTTTATATTTTTTGTCTATATTTTGCTTTTCATTGAATTGCAAAGGCCTGAAGTTACATGTTTGTCTGGGTCTTTTTCTTCTGAGTTTTTCTCATACATACACCTAAAGTTATATAGGACACTGGTACAGAAAGTGCTTCAAAGTACACACAATATGCAAATTGTTTCAATCCCTCACGGTTTAGAGCCTACATTACCTTCAAAGCATTCGAGAAACAGGGACAAGGTATGCTATGTCATGGTGACGAAGTACAGATATTTCTAGCATGGAATTAAATAAGCCATTCTGGACATGTACTAGTCAAATTTTCATATGACATTTAATATTTTTTTTTCTATTTGTTTTTAGTATTTCGTGTTCATGGAATAATTAGCCTTTAAACTGAGATTACAGGTCTGATTGGCAAGAGGTTCAGCACAAATATAACCTGGGGGAAATTCCATACTGGAGGAAATGCATTCTTGGTGTGTGTCTGAAGTCATGGAAACATTGAAGACGTGAGGGAGCGAGGACCAGGCAGGATCATCATGCAGTACATTGCCTCCTCCCGTTGTCACTTCAGTCATCCTCACCGTAGTTAAGCTACGCTGTCAATGCCAAATAAAACTATCTCACTTGACTTGACAAGAACAAGCATAGTTTTGCCTGCAGCTGACGAGGACTCTGGCACAGGTTGCCCAGAGAAGTGGAAGATGCCCCATCCCCCGAAACATACCAGGTCAAGTTGGAAGGGGCTCTGAGCAACCTGAGCTAGTTGAAGATGTCCCTGCTCATTGCAGGGGTGGTTGGTCTAGGTGACCTTTAAAGGTCCCTTCCAGCCCAAACTATTCTATGATTCTATGACTCTATCTCCAGTAGTAACATATTTGTTATATCAACTCTTAAGCCTCACACAAAAAAGCAGAATAGTCCCTGAGGGTTCAGCTACAACCTTTCTGGTGGGATTTGCTCATCAGCTTCCTGCAGCAACGTATCCAAGTATCAGTTAGCCTTAACCTTACTTACGCAGACAGCCAACAGTACTTGCAACAGACTGTTATATTGTATACTTACAATATATAGTTATATTATAAGATATAACTCATTGAAACCACAGAGCACCTCCCTCCGATGCTCAGTATTTGCCAAGCTGAATTAAGTGGGATTTCTAGAATTGAGAGGGAAACGTTGGGATACCTCAAAATCAGAGACTGTATCTTGCCTCCTGCCTTTGGCAAAAAAAAAGAAGACGACTTCATTCTCTTTGTAGCACACCCCAAAATACTTAAGATTACCATCATCAGAAAGATTGGGAATTCTTTCTTTCAGCTGAACAGACCCATGGCAAAAATTCCAGTTTTGCATTCTTTGAAGCCTCAGTTTTTGCTCTCAGGATGTGTCATGCTCTTACGACTGAAAAGCAGGGTTGCTCTTCTGTGATATCCAGAGAGCAAGTATTAAGATTGCAGCATTTCATGCTGTTTAGGAAGACGTTTATGAAAATTATTGCCTGTTTTCAAAAAGATGCAGTGTCCAAAAGTGCTGTTGCCTTTGTAAGTTCACATTGTTGGAAATACTAAGGGCTCTCTCTTCTCCTGGACAAACAGCCTCTGTAAGGTCACACAACCCTCTAGACATAACATAATGACAAAGACATTTTTGGATGATGATGCATAAGTGGTCATTACACACTCTCTACATTATTTGCACTTTCTCTGTTCCCATCACTATCCTGAGAAGTTTATTAGTAATACAGAATAGAAGATTATAAGCATTAAAAGGTGGACATAAGAAGCCCATATGGATCTCTGCTGAATGAGACATGGAAGACCTGTTTATCTTTTCATGCTTATTTTTTTCAGTGTGATTTCTGTGACACTACATGGCAATGTTTTATATATAACTGTTCTAGCAACATGCAGCCGGCTTGTTCTATGGTTTAGGATCCTGAAAGGTTTGATTCTATTCCTCTGAAATCTGCTTGAAAGAATCATCTATTTTGTAGAAACCCTGATTATTTTCCTTGCCAGGTTTTTGCATGCAAGTAACAATTAATTGATGTGGTTGTGAAGGACCAAGGTTCCCTTTTATTAAGGGGCTGCCTAGTGTTCTGCTCTCACATCATAAATTTAGTGAAAAATTACTGAAGCTTCTCACAAAGGTAATAATAAAATGTCACTGTGGCTTTTTAAACTGCATTCTTCAATATTCTGTTTCTACAAAACTGAAAACTATTTAAAAACAACACGTTATTCTGGAGAAATAGTAAATGGTTCACTTTTGAAATAACACGACAATATTTTAATAAGAAAAGTCTGAAACTCAAATAAACAACACCTATGCAAAAGGAATCATACCTGTTCCAAATATGAACAGAAGAATGAATAAAATGAAACAGAATCTAATTTTAAAAGAATGACTATATTTATTTTCTATTAAAAACAGACAGTACATCAAGATTTAAAATATAAATATCAAAATTATTGCACAGTTAGCCAACTAGCTTTGTTTGGCAACAATATTTTACAACATAATTGTGCAATAATATACTCTGGCATTAAACTCCACAAAAATCCATGATGTGTACCTTTTCTGTTTACATCATAAATCATCCTACAACAGTAAGATAATTGTTCTGGCGTATGTATAAAACATCATACAGTAATACAATACATGCTTTATGAAAGCTGGAGCTGGAAAGAAGGAAAGAAGAGAGAATGTCTCTTAGTGCTTCCCTTACACCTTTGACTCAAACAAATTTAAGCAACAGATATTTACCCTCCCATTTGCAGACATTTACCAGACGCGGTTCCAAGTATACATACAAATACACATATATTAAGAGGATTTGTTATAAATAGCTATTGCTTTTATAGGCAGTTTCAAATATACAATCTTCTGTATGTCTTTCAAAAATTAATGTCCCGGTTTAGTCTATAAAAAAATAAGAGTTTGTCCACAGGTAAATATCCTTAATTAGAATGCGACTCTGTGAATGTCCCGAAGAGTTTGTCCCAGTGAGTGAAGTAAGGAGCGTAGTTCGATTTGAATTTCAGATGATGGAGATCATGATGTGGTGCTCCTCCGTACAAACCAAAAGGCACAAGTCGGTGGGTTGACCACGGAAGGTCATATCCTGAATGGTCCTCCACTGACAACCAAATGTTTACAAGGAAGAAAATCATTTCTGTCAAAGGATGGCACCCGAGGAGCACTGGGTTGATAGCAGCAAAAAATCCCAGTGAGAGCAATTCCCATACACTGGAATACTGTGTAGTAAGAGCAAACGTTGACACGTGCTTGTGGTGCACCTTGTGGAAGGTCTTGTAGAGCCACGGCACCTTGTGATGAAGCAAATGCCACAGGAAGTACTCGAAATCAAACAGAAGCAGGCAAACTGCTACTTCCAGCAGGACCTCAGGCAGCTCTGGAGCCATCACTGGTAGATTCATTGGTCTCCAGTACCAGTGGACAAAAGTCACTGGGAAGATCAAAACAACATGGTGATACACACTTTGAATAATGCAAGGCACCATCATTCCAAGAGTTGGATAGTTCTGCGGCTGGATTTTGTATTTTCTCAAGTTTGGTAGTCTAGTGCTTAAAAAGTCCAGTGCAATATATGGAAGACAGAAAGCCATGTATGCTGTAAAAGAAAACAGCACTGGAAAAAAAGGTGACTTGATAAATGGCTCCTTTGCTGTGACCAAGTCCCAAAGGGACTGAAGGCACAACCTGTCCCGCCGTCCATCCATCGCGTAGCTGAGCAGCGCTCTGTCTGGCAGGCTGCTGTTCATGCTGATGGCAGTCTGAGAGGTCTGTAAATCCTGCAAGCCTTTATCTAGCCTGCTCAAGGGAAAACTCCGCCCATCAGAAATCCTCCTTGCTTAGTAATACGTAGCTTTAAAGAGGAAGTTGCCTTTCCTGTTATACAGAAGTGGAATCACGCATTACAATCTCAGAACAGAATTAGCTGGCCAGGGCAATCACTGGAGCTCTGCAAAAGACTTGGATGACAGGAACATTAAGCAGAAATGCAGAAGTCTAAGACTGGAATTCAGAGAAAGAACGTAGGAACATTTTCCACTCCACTTAGTGCGCACACTTGAAAAACTGCTGTCTCTTACTAATTTTAAATTGTGTCATCCTTTTTTATCCTCTTGCCTTTATAGGTAAGGAAATACAACCTACCATTGATTTTTTTTGTGACTGCTACCAAAGATGTACATGTACCTAAACACCAGCTCTGACCTGTGGTTGTTTGGTAGGTAATGGATGTGTGCTAACACACATTTTCTTAATGATCCCTCAGGTGTATAACAGGATAAGTCAAAACCTTAAGGAGACCTACAATACGCTTCCAATCAAAGTGGTGGCTTGACTTATCTCCATCTACTTTTGAGGTCCTGTTCTCCTTTATGCTCCCATATCTACTTGACATGGTAAAATCCACCTGACTTAACCAGATGCAAAATTGAGCCAACAACTTTTGAAGAACAAAATATCCCCCGGTTGCTGGGATGAATGTGAGGTAAAACCTCATTATGCTTCCGAACAGATATTTAGTGACAACTATTATTGCATTATTACAATATTCGCTCCACATCTCAACAGCTCTTCGAGCAATATGATATGGAAATCATTCTTTATCCAAGTATCAAACTAACTTCTGTAGTTAAAAGATCTGCTGGTTAGATCTACGTCCTTTAAAGGATCTTGCTCTGACCATAGGCAAGCACGCAGCAGACAGAAGCTGGCAGGCTTGACTCCCCACATCTCTATTTTGCTAAAAGTATTTTAGGGGTAAATGATGGAGATCTTGATTTAACCACTAAGACATCACTTCTTTTGTGCTTTTATAAAGAGACAAACAAAGCTTTGAACGTTTAGGGAAACAGAGATTGCCATCAGCTTCCTATGAACTCACCTCTTTTGTAGGTACAGCATTTATTCTAATATTGGAAATGAGCTCAACTTCCTGGATGACTTTATTACCTTGCTCAGATGGTCTTAGTTCTTTGCTATTCAGAAAAGAAATCTGATGGGGGGTAATGGAGGCAGAATTTCCTTGCTTCTCAATAATGAAGAATGACTAATTATCAGTGACCTTTTCTGAAATATGCATGGACTTCTAATACTTACGTTTGCTTTCACTCTCAACGATTTTGTCTTCAAGAGATTCTGCTCTTAAGGAGGTGCAGATTTTGCTCTCTTCTTAGACTTCAAGGAGTTTACTGTAACAGTAACATCTGTGCTACTATTCAGGCAATCAGAAGTTATTTGTTGGGAGACAGGTATGCTGCGGCCTTCAAAGACTCTACCTGTTGCATATACATTTTAGAAATAGATTCAGATTTTCTGCTGTTGTGAGACTGTTCTGTTGAACTCCGTTAACGCAGACTGTCAAATGTAGTGAAACTAAAACCCAGTGAGAGACACTAATTTAATGCATGAGGATCTATATCCAGGAGCTTCATTTCAATCTTCTGACTGTATTTTATACTGACCTCTATTTCACAATAAGGACATGAAAAATGCATTTGTAACTCAATCAGCGTCTGGGTCAGAAAATATTCTTGTGAGAGATGCTTTTTGTTGATTTATGTACTTTCAGTCAGAAATTAAGCCTCCCAGATGGGATACGTGATTCTCTTATTTTATTAGAATTATGCAGGGACTGAATTTATTCTATAACGTATTCCAAATCTGCCCAAAGGGAGACTGACAGAAATCGCTCAGCTGCCCTAAAGACACTCCTCCAACTAATCCCTAATAGCCATGCAAAGTCTCAAGAAGTTTTAGAACCACTGCTGCCTATAAGCTAAAATTTAAAGAATAGGCATTTTGCCTGCAGATTACATCATAGAAAAATATTCTTAAGTCCCTTAAGGAAAAATAACGGAATTCTGCAGTCTTATTACTCGTATATCCTGCAACACAAAGCCCAAGCAAGATGCAAGGTGAGCAGAACTTACCTGGGAGCCTGAGGCAGCCCCGAGCCGGGCTGGGCATGCCGCAGGGTCGGCATCCCATCTGCCGGCACTCGGCAGGGTGGGCTCTGCGGGCAGTGCTACCCCGGCTGGTACCGACCGGGGCAGGCTCAGCAGAATGAACCCTCACGCATCAGAGAGGGCAAACCCTTATCCTCCAGAAACTGAGTTCAAGCGGTTTGGCTCTGCCACCACGAAGCACTTATCACGTCTTTCCGCTTTGGTTTCTTTGTCAGCGCAAGGTACAATGTGAAGAAAAGACAAAGTGCACGCAAATCCTGTCTGTAGTTAGTTCAGCAATACAACCCCAGCCTTTTTCGCTCAACTTGCGATGCTGCCAAACTTTCCCATGTGTTACAAGACTCTAAACGGTTCTCTCAAAAAATCAAGACTCCTGCTACAGAGTTTAGGTTGAAGGGCACATAGTTTGGAATGAGGCCCCGCAAAGGGTCTTAAATAGATTCCACATGAGCACAAGATGCAAGCACCTACCCCAGGCTGCACCCGTTAGGTACAAGCTGTAAACAGCAAAACACTAAGTGGGTAGGAAAACGAGGAAAAGTTAGCAGGGGGGAAAACCAGGATCAACATACTGAAACTAATGTCACGGCAGCAGAGGCAAAATTTCTTTTTACCTCATCCTCCTCCTCTTCTCCCCCCCTGTGTGGTAGGATTATTGTTGTGCCGGCAATAAGGCAATATCCCAGTGCATGCTGAGCCTTCTACCAGGAAAAGGGCGCTGGGGAAGAGGGCTGATAACTTGTTCAGGACAGTAGCAGGGAAGCAGGATAGTAACCAGCGCAAAGGAAGGCAGAGGCAGTCAGTCCCTTCTCTCACTTTAAAAGAAATCGCTCCCATGCTCGAAAAACACAATAAATCTGAGGTCCTCACATCCTAACTCACCTTACTCCAAGAGCCTGAGAGCAAGGAGACACAGTGTACAGCAGTACTCATGGCAGCTCTGCGAGGGTGCGGGTGTCAGCCAGCTCTTTATGCCCCCTCCTTACCCCCCCCTTACCCCCCGCTCCGCAGGCACCGCTCCCGCCGCCCGCCCCCGCCTGCGCGGCCGAGAGAGGGCTCGCTTTCTCCTCACGGGACAATCACCGGCACATATATCCCTTAGACTTTGTTAAAATGTTCAGGGATGATAAAAATGTACACTGGTTTGGGAAAGAGGGAGCTTTGCCTACGAGCATCGTTTCAACCTGGAGTCTCCGCATGTTTGGGTATACCGAGATTCAAGCCCTGGATCTGAATCCAAAAAAGGGACACGAGCCCCTACTCCTCACATCTCTGGTAAGCAGCCTGAACCCCGCACCCATGGGTATGCTGGGCACATGAGGAAGAACAACACATTCCTCTTCACTTTTGATGAAAAACATCAGCCTAAACACAAAATATTTTTCGTAACAGAACTAAGGCATTTCTTAATAAAACTATTTTCATAGCAACACTCCACTTGCCCAACCAAGCTTCAGTGAAAAACCTCTCCAGGCAACACAGGAAGAAAGCTTTAACAAAAGTTTTTTAATTAATTCCTAACAATGACTAGGGATGGAAAGCTGCCAGTGAAGTAAATGGTTAATTCTCAAGCTTTACCTTATCAGGTTCAGTTTTCAAAATAATAAACAACCAGGAAAAGATCCTAGAACTCTTTCATTCACAATTTGCAATTCCATAGTGAGAAACTGATTCGCATCTTCTACAACCACACACATTCATCATTTCTGGCGCAGTCAGAATGCAACAGAGATACTTTTCAGCTTGGTATCCTCAGAAAATAAGACTTCAGCAATCATGTCACAGGTGTGGCTAATGTCCATCCAACCTTCATAAATTTTTATTTCACTGATGATTTCAATGTAACCTGACTGCAGGGTAGCAATGTCAGTAGTATTTTGTTCATATAAAGTTATTTGAAAATAGGCGACTAGAGATGAGAGGCCATTATTAGCACTCTCATGGCAGGCAATGCTGCAGCACTGGAAGGGAGAAGACATTATAAATGCTTTCATTACAGGAAAATCTTCCACAAAAATCCCCATTTTATTGTATATCAGAAAACCTATTCCTCCATCAAGGTTTCTCTCTCATATCTTCTGGATTAGAGTAATTTGTGACTTTTCCTTGTATTAAGGTATTCATGTTTCCTTATTTTGTATGGCACATTAACCATAAAGAGTGATTATTGAAAATGGGCTTATTTTGTTCCCAAACTGACAAAACTGTTTCTCTTCTGGGGCCCAAGGGAGTAGGAGTTCTCTTTTACCACCACTTCCTACGCTGAGGCACTTCTGTGTTGTTTGAGTTGATGTGTAAACTTTTGCCAGCGCTATCACTAGCTACAGAATCACTAAATAGTGTAAAAATGCTCTGCATTGAGCTAGGACATCACTTGGCATGCGCCACTAACATACACGCACTCTACCATCCTTAGGCCTTCTGCATGACATAAACAGTGCGAATACACTTGCAGATTACTATAAAAAATCATTTTCAAGTTCCAAGCACAACATGTGGAAAAAAACCACATGTCCTTCTGTCTGTGTATGCCCTCGTATGCCCGATTGTGTTGTACATCTCTAAGCCAAAGCCCTGGATCACGCATTCACTTCAGATGCACACAGGTCTGTGAGTGGCAATCCAACAGCTGAACAGGGACTACTTTCTCCGGGCTTTCCAGCATAGTTTGATCACGTCGCTAAATGCTGAGACTAAGTCAGCAGAAGGTGTCTGATGCCCTCCATTACACTAGTACACTTTTATATTACACAAAGCTGATGTTCAGCCAAGCTTCAGCATCATATA